ATGCCAAGGAAGGGAGGGAAGGTATTGGAAGTTGGGAATGGCTGGAGAGCAGAAGATGGCTTCCATTCATTGGCATGCTGGGTCCTTGGGTTTTGCTAATTAGGATATAGTGTCACACCTGAGATGGCTTGGTGCTTTTTTTTTGTTGTTGTTGTGTTATTCTGCACTAAGAAGTCCTCCCATGTTGGTGGTTTTACCTGCAGCAGGTTAGGACATGCTGGCTCAGAGTTAGTAGAACCTCGTGGACCAAAGGATCTCAGAATAGTCAATTGCTGGACACTGTCCCCCATTATGTATCCAAGTATCTGGACTTCCCATGGCTTGCACTGTTTTAACATCTCTTAGAACCATAGAACCATAGAATCATTAAGGTTGGAAAAGACCTCTAACATCATCAAGTCCACCCGTTAACCCAACACCACCATGCCCACTAAACCATGTCCCTAAGCGCCTCATCTACACGTCTTTAAAATACTTCCAGGGATGGTGACTCTACCACTTCCCTGGGCAGCCTGTTCCAAAGCCTGACCACCCTTTCCGTAAAGAAGTTTTTCCTAATGTCCAGTCTAATCCTCCCTTGGCGCAACTTGAGGCCATTTCCTCTCGTCCTATCGCCAGTTACTTGGGAGAAGAGACCAACCCCCACCTCGCTACAACCTCCTTTCAGGTAGTTGTAGAGCGCGATGAGGTCTCCCCTCAGCCTCCTCTTCTCCAGGCTAAACAGCCCCAGTTCCCTCCGCCGCTCCTCATAAGACTTGTTCTCTAGACCCTTCACCAGCTTCGTTGCCCTTCTCTGGACACGCTCCAGCACCTCAGTGTCCTTCTTGTAGTGAGGGGCCCAAAACTGAACACAGTATTCAAGGTGCGGCCTCACCAGTGCCAAGTGCAGGGGCATGATCACCTCTCTTGCCTAGGTTGACGGGCAGTCCGTACAGTCTTGCTGGTCTATTAGCCTGACTCCTGACCAGCCTGCTTGGTGAAAGAAAAGGTTTGTGAGCATCCAGCAACTTGCCCTCTTTAATGCAGGGTTCCACAGAACTACGGGCAGTACTTCGGATGTTGAGTCTTCGGTCCTTTTAAAAAGACTCCCAACATCTCAAAGACGCTTTCAGGCTTCTTTCTTGGTGTTTAGTTCATGTGAAATTTAAAGATAATTGCTGTCATCGTGTAAGTCTTCATAAACCTTCCTCTACAGACAGTGCAAATCTCTTGTAAAACTACCTTTAAAAAAGAAAAAATCATTAATATATTGCCTTACTGTAATACAAAACTGATCCCACATACAAAAGGAACACCATGACCTCATTGCATTTATGTGTAAGTGAGGAATTTAGCAGAGGATTTTAAATCTAGTAGTTGGACTTGAGGAGAGACATGTGCTGGAAAGCCTGTCTATTTTATTATCTATATCAAACAGTCTCATAAAACTTGCTACCTCCCCATGCAAACATTGCTTGGCTTGTAGTCTTAGGTCATGGAAGCTAGAGCAATATTACTATAAGACAAAAAATGACAAGTCACACATGATGGACGTGAAGAACTACTGAGGCTAACTTTTACAGATTGCTTGTTTGGTTGTCTCAAATTTTAGCATACAGAAAATAAGGCTTTGAATAAAACATGCGAACATCAGTTACAATTTCAAATTTAGTTCAGGCATTCCAAGATCTTGTGCTGAAAAAAATAATTCCTTTGTGGGGAAAGCTTTCTAGGTCTCTCAGATTTGATGAGGGGACCTGAATAAATGATAGAGGGCTTGCACTGAAATAATGAGAAAATCAGTATTTTGCATATGTCAAAAGTTGGACCAGGGTAAACTGTAGTAGTTGAACTTTGTCTTTGATGAATGCCAACATTTTTCAAGAGTAAATCAAACTCTTACATGAGTTGCACCTTCTAATTCTACTGCTTAAATATGGCTCATGCCCTCTGATTTTTACCTTTTGAATGGTATTAGTTCATATAGCGACTGAATTGCAGAGGAGTTTTGATTGCATTTTCAGTACTGAATTTCTTACCTGGACTAATTTAAATCCACAAATTTGACCTATTTAGTATGCACAGTTCTCCCTCTCTGAAGACCTTTTGCTTGAATTATCAAACTACTTAGGTTTCCTTTGTATTTAGGAGGGAGGCACTTTGGGAGTTGTTTTCAAAGCTGAAGAGATTAACTTAATTTAAGCTTCCAGGAAAAAATATGATAGCCCCTTCATAATTGTGAAACAGATTTTGTATTACTGCTTAGAGGTAAATCCCTTCTTGTTCCTGGAAATGAACATAAACACAGAAGACTAAAATCAGAAAGGTTAAGGCACCAAATGATTTTCAATTAGCAGAGGATATAAAAGGCAATAAGAAGAGCTTCTGCATATAAATTATTTTCCTTTTTCATCCCTTTTCTTCTATGGTGTCCATTACTTAACAGAGATTAAGGGCAAGCCACAAAAAAATACAGAGAAACTAGCAGTATTGGCAACTTTGTGTGCAGGTTTTCATGAAAAAGGTTAATTTTGAGTCGATACTTACATAAACTGTTTTAATAAGCAGACTGCTGTTGCACAGGCAAGAGCAGGCTAAAGAAGAGGATTTAAGGTGGAGATCTCTGGTGATGCTCTCAAATGTTTGCAAGCTTGCACTTTTGCAAAGCCCTTTATAGAAAAAGATGAAAATTCAAAATGATCTTGGAAGAACCATCTAGAAAGGTAGTCTGCCATCAACAAAATGATGTTAGTACAGAGGACTTCAGAAGATTTAGAAAAAAGAAAGGCAAGATGACAGCTATCTTTCTGAGATGTCTCTTGGCTACAGAGCACCTGCTAACACAGGGAGACGAGAGTTTATTTCATTGTTCCTGTCAAAGGGGCCCCAGTGGGATCTCTGTGTTTAATAAGTACCTCACTAGGAAAAAATCTGGACCGACTGAGTGGTGTCCAGAGAACAGTTGCTTACCGTGAGGGGAAGGGTGGGAGTGGAGAGGAACACCTTATCTCAAGAGCTTGGATTTTGAGGGCGAAACACTAGAAGAGGTTGCATACAAATATTTTGGAATCTGCTTTCTTGGCTGTTTTCAGGGTTAGGACAGTCAGCCATTTGTTTCACTGGAGAATGTTTAGACCCTGCCTCACTGTTTGTATGGACTAGATAGTCTCTTGACATCTTTTCTGTTCTGTTTCCGTGCTTATTTGAAACCACTACAGCTGTTTTTCCACTTGAATAATTTCACAAAAAATAACCCAGATGAAATTGTGTCAAGTTAATGCTATGCGGCAGTGCTTGTGTTTCCAAAACAAGCAAACAAACAAAAAAAATAAAACCCCGGGAGCAAGTGACAGCTGGAATGCGGGAAACCAAGGTCTGAGATGTAAAAGTCTGGATATAAAGGTTTTTCTTTTCCCAAAGTGAAGTGAATGCCTCAGCGTGATCCGTCAGTCATAAAATTGTCACTTTGCAAGTATGAAGTGCTAATACTCTCACACGTTAAGAGTGTTTCCATATAAAATGCTCATGTATGTATTCTCAGAAATGGTCTGATAACACCTCTAAAGCTTCCTAAATTCTGCACGTTGCCAGTTTCAATAAATAATTAATAGGGAGGTGTACTTTTTCAATTCGCATAGAAACCCTGTCTTGTCTATCAATGTAACTTACCTGTGTAGGCAAACAGAATTTCAGATTTGGAGGCTGTAAGGCAAGTTAAGGAAAGGGGGAGAGTTAGCACCCTGTTCCTCCTATTCCAGCTTCCAAATTGCACATGCGTACAAAGCTCCTTTACCTGAGCAAGATCTTTCCCTTTAGGCTTCAGTACTGCACTATGTGTCTCTGTGTTTTTCCATTTAGAAATTAAATCACCTGGGTGTTGCCTGTTCACTTGCATATGAATGGGAAAGGTAAAAACAAAGTGGGATGATATGGGCATCGTCACTTGTGTCAGAAGTGTGTGTCATGCACTCTCCCACATGCAGAGAGGATGAGTACTACAGGGGCTGGGCTTGGAGAGTCCTGCTCCACTGTACAGTTGGTATCAGCTTTCATATATTATCCAAGATTTCCTTTTCATGCTTATGATCTAGATGACTGTACATCTTTCTTTAACTCCATTTTTTCTTAACAATTTTCTGTGTATTCAATACTACTTGGAAAACCTGTTTTTAAGTAGCAAAGGAAGGTCTCTTAAGAACAGAAATTAATTTGCTTTGTTAACTGTCTGACTAGAAAGCTACAGGTCATGCTTTCTATTTTGGTACCTTGAATTCTTTCCTTCGTGGTAGCTAGGATGTGTCTACTAGGCTTTTGTGTGAAGCTCTGGAGGAGGTAGTGCAGTCAGTGCACAGGCCCAGTGCAGGAGCTCAGTCTTCTTTGTCCTTGGAAGGGAAGGGTGCAAGCATCTCCCTTCTCTGTGAAACCCAGCTGCTCACTGTGTTTGACCGGAGCCCTGAATGAAGGATCTCAGGAGCAGGAATAAAGATACTTTTCTGTCAGCACTTCAGAGTGGTTATAGATGATAATTCTGCTGCCTTTAAAAAGCTTTTTGCTCAGTGTGTGGATTTTAAAGAGCCTTCCCTGTCTCCTTGCTTGTACTTGTACGATGCAACCAGCCCCGCCCCATCCAGTGGGCCAAGCTGCCAGCGTGCTCCACGGACAGTTGTGCTGGCACTGGTGAGCAGATGGCACTGCAGAAAGGTTGAAAGTTGAGGGATGCTTAAGTTGGCAAGGGCTAGTAGGAGTGGTGTTCATCAGGCTGTCCTCTGCTCGCTTCACAGAGATTAACATCTTCCAGCACTTTCTGTGGTTTGTTGTTCAATTACTGTGAAAAGTGAATTTTAAAGAATAGGAAATTTAAGGATTCCATTTGTTGTTATGCCAAATGAATACACGTTTTTCCTTGAGTAATAGTTGTTTGTTTTGCAGGTGGTTGTTGTCGTCATCTTACAGTTATTTGGAGGAAAAGCAGTGGTTAGAAACTCAGAAACTCTAGTTTCAATTTTTTTTTTTTTTTTAAGGTTTTTCACTTGCTGCAGTCGTACTTGGCATCAAAACAGCTCGTTAGTTCGGACTTTCAGCAGGGACTGGGTGACATCATTACCTGTGTAGGAACCAAACTGTGGTTGGCTAAAAGGTAAGATAAAACACAAGACATATATGTTTATACACATAGGTTACTAACATATGGAAGGCTTGGCTGATGGGGTTTTCTTAAATTATTTTTTATTTTGGCAAGGTGGACAGATTTGTTTCTCTAGAAACATGTAAAATATAGATGCCTTATTGGCTTGCTGGTTTTTGAATCAAGTTTTTTTTGTTTTTTTTTTTTTTTTTTTAAAAAGAAGCAAGGGATGGAAAAACATAAGTGTGCATTACTGTTTTTCAGTCTTCTCTTAGTTCATTCTCAGCTACATTTTATAGTCCAGTCATTTAAAAAAAAAAAAAAGTGTGAATGAAAATGCCTACAGAAGCACCCTTTTTGAGGAAGGGATGAATGTTGCTTTTGGACTAAGAAAAATATGCCACATATACAAGGTTTTTATGTTACTATTTTCTCTGACTTTGACCTTTACAAAAAAGTAGTAGAAAAATGTCATAAGAATTGTTGAAACTATCAGAAGTATTTAGCTGCCCACAAACAATCCAAGATAGTTTTGGAAACATTTTCCTTAGGTTTCTGTAAAAGGATCTTCAGATGACCTACATACTGCAATCAAGAAACTTCCCCTTCCCCGCCCACCCCCCCCCGGAAATCTAGTTGATCTCATCAATTGCTTTTGAAAATTCCCACCAAAAACTTTAAACGAATCAGTTGTGGACAGAGAGCACAAGTCCTTGCATAGATAAATAACTGAATAAAATACTCCAGATTACAGTTTGCACAGTGGAGGGAGGTCACCAATGCAGTCTAGTGTGGATCTCTGATAAAACCTATGTTGCTTTGTGATCATTAAAAGCAAAATCTTAAGTGATTTGGAGAAGGGGGGTGACTAGTGGGTTGAGGAAGTCTTCTGCCAGTGTTAACTGAGTTGGGGTAATCAAGATAGAGTTGATCTTTGAGAATTACATAACTGTCTCCTGAGAGAGTGACAATATAGCAGGTAAAACTTGGTGTAAATAATTGTGAAATGATGCACATGAATAAAGCAGTCTGGACTTTACTTGGGGAAGGAGTGGTCAACCAAGCAGATTTTTTTGTTTGAAAAAAAAAATCACCCTTATTCTTGGTAGAGCCCCAGAGGGGAGGAGGCAAATATCATAAAAAGAATGCAGAACAAAACAGAAAACACTTAGTTTCTGTATTAATCTGTACTGTATATTTTAATATTGTGTAAATCCCAAAGAAGATACAGTAGAAGTGAGGAGCAGTAAAAAGACTGATAATAACTCCAGAATAATTTCTACATGGGGAATGACTAGATAGGCTGAGATTTTTTTAACCTGGAAAAGGGACAACTGAGGGATGACATGGGAAAAAAAATTAATGCTATGAGTCACATGGAAAAGGAGACAGGTATTTAGCATCCCTTCCAATGCAAGGTGGCAGATTTAAAAGAAACAGAATAATGAAGTTATTCATGTAATTTTAGTTTAGCTATGGAACTCCATGATACAAGATACTGTTGGCTTTAAACCTATCTAAATTTTTAACAAGTGATTGAACAGAGTCAGGGAAGAAAAGCCCAGTGAGGTTACTAAGTATGTAATTATCACAATTGGCTTGAGAAATTCTTCAGCAACCTTGAAGGTTGAGAGAGAGGTTTTGTCAAGTATCACTGTTCTTACGCTTCCCTTTCCTGTGCGTCTGCTCTCTGCCCGAGTTGGAGACATCATGCTGGATTTGGTGGACCTTTTGACTTGACTCAGCATAAGCATTCTTAAGCCTTAAAATGAGAATGGTAATTTACTTAATGAAATTAAATCCATTGATACTGTTATAAAGAAAAAAAACCAAACACGGGAGACCAAATTCAGTAGAAAGATACTAGTGCTGAATAATTCAAACCTCTTTCTCCTGCAGCAAATGCATAAGGACCAGGCTCTGTTCATTATAGATTTTAAATAAATTGTATGTCTTCAAAGTATTTTTTCAGAAGTGGTCTTTAGTCATATTAGTGCTGACTTTTTTTTTTGTATTCTCTCCAAAAGGAAATGTTTTCAGGCTCTAAGAAATCTTGGTACATGGTATAGGTATTTGAAGAGGAGATGTATTTTCTCTTTTACTTGCCTGTAAAAAGCCACAGCTGCATGTGCTAATATTAACCCTCTGTCAGTACCACGTTTTTGTTTTGCAGTTTATTGTAGCCTCCTTTTCACATTCATGCATTCTCAATTACGCAGTTAATGCTACACATAAAGGTTTTCTTAATGCCCTTCTCCCTAAATAGTAAAATTTTATATTGCAAGCATACAGGTTTGCAACACTAAGTTAAGTCATCGGTTTTTGACAGGCAGAAACACTTTTTGTAAATTTCTAATGTACTTGACCATTCTCTCTGAGTCCATATGGCCATATGTCCTTAGCCACACTTTGAGCTAAGATGTGTTTTCTTTTTTCTTTCCTTCCTTTTTTTAAGTCTTAAAAAACCACGTAAAATATCCATGAAATGTTCGGTAACCAAATTTACTTCCAAATATGCTTTAACCTTAAGACTACAATAAATGATAAAGCTTAAAAAATTTGCTTGCCTCTTAATTTTCTGCTTGAGATAAATATGTTCAGTGTGGTGTGATTTAAAAACAAAACAAACAAAACCCCAACAAACAACCCAAACAAAAATATTGAAATGGATGGTATTTTCTGGTAGTTTTAGTCTCCCATGTTCAGTGTGCAGCTTTACCATTTATATTTGGCTGTGTGGAGCTGAACAACTGTTCTGTGATGAACGATGGGTTTTGGGGTTTTTGTTGTTCTTGTTTTCTCTTTTTCTTATTTTAAAGGAGTTTTGGGAGGTTGCTTGGCAAATGAGTTGTGAAACTCAGTAAGTCTGTCTGTGCAGTTTTCTGGATATTGGGGGAGCATTATCAGGAAACCAGCACTTCATTTGCGCCCTGTTGTTAGACTTCTTGGTATCCATCTGCTGCTAGTCACTGTCAGAGAGGGTGCTAGCTGGCTGGACCCATGGTCCACGTACAGTCATTCTTACCTTCTTTCTGTTCAGGCAAAGAGAGTGAGTACCACAGAGAAAAATTAATGAACTTCCATCTGTTTCTTCTGCCTTTCTCATGAGGAGATAATTTAGTGTGTCACTGGTGCTGTAGTGCAGTGATTGTTTGAAAAGAGGGTATTATAGGCACTCACTATTAATCTTCAATGGATAAAAAAAAAAGTTAAAATAATAGGAAAGCAGTTTGTGAATTTGGGAAAATAGGGCATTATTTTGAAACACCAGTCTTCATTCACATTTCTGTGCTAGTTCTGTAAAGTTCTTGCTGGTGTTCTTTCAACTACCTACTTCCCTTCGTACTGTGCAACAAACTTCTCTGAGAAACTCTTATTTTAATTACAAAATTTTGGATTGCATAAGTAGTTCTTAAAAATGAGGCTCACGGAGATGATCAGAGGGCTGGAGCACCTCTCCTATGAAGACAGGCTGAGAGAGTTGGGGTTGTTCAGCCTGGAGAAGAGAAGGCTCCAGGGAGACCTTACAGCAGCCTTCCAGTAGCTGAGGGGGGCCTACAAAAAAGGTGGAGAGGGACTTTTTGCAAGGGCATCTAGTGATAGGACAAGGGGTAATGGCTTTAAACTGAAAGAGGGTAGATTTAGATTAGATACAAGGAAGAAATTCTTCACTATGAGGGTGGTGAGGCACAGGAGCAGGTTGCCCAGAGAAGCTGTGGATGCCCCATCCCTGGAAGTGTTCAAGGCCAGGTTGGATGGGGCTTTGAGCAACCTGGTCTAGTGGAAGGTGTCCCTGCCCATGGCAGGGGGGCTGGAACTAGATGATCTTTAAGGTCCCTTCCTACCCAAACCATTCTATGATTGTCATGTATATATCTGGAGGAATTATTATCTTTCTTCAACTGTTTGCCGAACTGGTGTTTTTTTGTTTGGTTGGTTGTGTGGGTTTTTTTTACCTTTTCAGGCCAGAATATAATTTCCTTTCATCAGAATGTACTGGTGTAGAATAGCTCAAGAAAATATTGTGCATTCCCTGTAATACACTAATCCCTTCTCCCTCCTCCGCTCCCCCACCTGATTGTGCTTTAGAGAATAAAATAATGGCTCACATTCCCCAAACTGAATTTCATAAAACATTCTCTTTTTCAACTGATACCTTTTGTCTGTTGTGAAGGCAGGCTTCTGATGTTAATGTGGCTTTTTCCCCTTTGTAGCATATATTAGAATATTAGAAGAAAAAAATCTTTCCTCCACGTTCATTGTTGTTTCTTTTTACATCTTCAAAATACTAACTTTTTTGAGTATTCAACAGCAGTATTTCCATTTTTGATATTTTGGTAAATGAGACCTGCCTTCCATCCACGTCTCAAGGTGACGCTTGAAACTTTTCACTTTACTTGCAAGTAAATGAAGTTTATACTTAATTTGATGCTTTTTATTTTGTTTTAGAATACGCTTGTTTGTTGGTCTACAGTGGTTTAGTAATATTATTGCTTCCCTCCACCCCCACACCAGAGTTAGTTTATTATATTTTTTCCAAGTATGGGAGATGCAGGGTGTTTGAGAAGAACAGAAATTTAAAAATGTATAAAATCTGCTTTGTTGGAGAACTGAGGTGATGGAATGAAGTGATGGAAATTAATCTGGTGAAAGCTTTAAAAAAGTAATCAATATATCAAGCTAAGCCTTTGAAAAAGTTCAAAGCTCTTTCACACAAATTAAAAAAAAAAAAAGTAGTTTTTAGCTCAACTGCATACCAAGCAGTCACAAGACTAACTCTAGGTGCCTTCTGCATCGTAAATACAGAAACCTGAAAGAGCAGCTTTTGGAGCTGGTAATTTGTTATACAGAAGTCCCGGAAATATCTGTCTTGTTTCATTTGTAGCCTTTGGCATGGCAAAGTATTGGTATTGGAAAATTTGTGAAATCATGTCATTGCACAGCTTTGCTGTAGGATGCTGTCTTCCAGTGCTTTTAGTTTGATTTTCTTTTCCGCCTTCCTTCTTACTGGA